GGCCGATAAAATCTTTACATAGGAATAAATAGGGAAATCTTTAAAAAATATCTTCTCAATTACTGCAAAGCCATGATAACAGAAAAACTATGTTAAGTCATATTGACATGTAAGCATCCTCATGTATTGAAGATTTAAATTTGTTCAAGTCATGAGTACCTTTGGGGTAGGGAGGGAAATGAATGGGAGTCAAATTCAAATATAACAAAGTAAAATATACAAACAAAATGTTAAAAAAAAATCTATAAAAATCTTTTTCTCAAGAACTATCTCACAAAGTCATATGCAGAATTGTAATGAAGGCATTCTCAAGAAGTTTTAGAATTCAAGCCCCCCCCCCTCAGTAAACTTTTCAATTCTTATCTTATTTGTGCGTTTTCCTAGTCAATGTGCTCAGGTGAGCGATGTGGCCCCTGACCCTCTTGTTAATAATGTTTTGAACTATGTGAGCACTATAAAAGACAGAAATCTTTTTTGTTCATCATTTCATCATCAACTAGAGGTACTGTGAGCAATGAGCTCACTAAATGATACCCCCGCCTCCCATATGGTTATAACTGATGAACAAAGTCCATGTTTGTGCTGTGGCCAGGTAACCCAAAATATGTGTTGAATCAAAAAGTAAAATGGGAGGTGCACAATGGCAATATGTAATAAAGATTCTGTGAATGTTCCATCAAATTTATTCAGTGGTATGAGAGAAACTGCGGATTAGAGATAGGTACCCCAAAGCGTAACAGACGGAAGGACGGACGGACATACCGATTACAGTATATCCTCCCACTTTTCAAGCGAGGGTATAATGAAATGGACATCTAATGCTACAATAGAGGCATATTTAAACAGTGTTCATTCTTAAGGAAACCTATAATTCATTGTTTATCATTTGAAAAAAACAAATTTGCGATGAAATAGATAAACAAAGCCATTAATTAACGCAAAAGTAGACTTTTCTTTTAAAATCAGGTGAAAGAGGATTTCCTTTCCTGCAGAAATATTTTATATATATCCCAGAGAAACACTTCTTCAAGTTTCTTCGTAAAAATTACTTTTATAGCAACATTGAATATTTAGGTACGCTTGAAAAGTGGGAGGGTATACTGTAATCGGTATGTCCGTCCATCCGTCCGTCTGTCTGTTACGCTTTGGGTACCCATCTCTTATCCGCAACTCCTCTTATATTTAATGAAACTTTCACAGAATCTTTGTTACATATTGCCATTATGCACTCCTATATTCTGGGTTTCCCGGCCACAGCAAAACATGGATTTTGCCGTTATTACAATACGGGAGGCGGGGGTATCATTTTGTGAGCCCAGTGCTCACAGTACCTCTAGTTTACAAGAGTTTTTGTGTCATATTAGTGCTAAGGGTTACTACAGGCATTTAAAGCTATCAAAATTCCATTTAATTGTTCAAAATTCCTCCCAAAGAATTCTTATATATTCTCTGTTTTTGTCGGTCAAGCTTTCTTTTCTCTTATTCCATTGTGTCTTTTGTTTTCTCTTTTTCTCTTTTTAGATATTTTATTCGATCATTTAAGGTTAATTCTTATCCAAGTATAACTCTTTGTCAATCTGATATTGTTCCTATTTTTATACTCCCTTATTAATTAAGCGTTAAAATTAAAATTCTGTCGGCCTATAGAAAAGTAGGAAAACAAATTCAAACTTTAAAATACCATCAAAATGTGCGATGTCAGAAAACTTAACAACAATAACAAGGGAGAAAACATAATTACTATCATTTTCTTTTCACTTTACTCGTTTTTACTAAGTAAGAGCGTCCAGATATTTTCTGATTCATACAAATATAATGACCACCACAAAATTGCATTGCATCATTACCAAAGAAAAACCGACCACGAAATCGAATCCTTACAAACAAATATTTTTCCTCAAACCTCGAAAATTTGATCCCAAAAGAAAAGTGATTTCAACAGTAACCCATACATGTTTGAACCTTGATGGGGAATATTGGGAGGTCCTGAGTCTGATCCCTGTCCATATGTGCTGTGACAAGGCTAAAACGCTGAACACAAGGAACATTTTGCGACTGTTTCTTATTAAAGTCCAGCACTTTGAATGGCAGTTGCAGATCTTTGGGATGACATTTTTAATATTCCTCACTGCTGCGAGCGTAAGGAACATTTAAACAAGATCTTAACAGCAGATGACGTTTCTGAATAAGTGAAATTCTCAGTGAAACGTTAAACAACATAACAAAGCATGTATAACTTACGACATAGTGGTTTTCCACATTTTTCCCCATTTTTTCTCCTCGTCCGTAGTGTAACACCAAGGGCCCTGTGGTTCTCTGTCAGGGTTTCTGCAGTAATTCCTACTGTTCTTTAGGGTATTGTTATACTTATGCTTATGGGGAAACTGCGAGACCCAGGCTTGACATTCTTTCCCAGACAACGTTTGATCCACGTTTCCAAAATACTCCATACCCAGTGTTGTCATTTTGCACTCCCGCTGTCCTAGTATAGAGCATAGAAAGAAGTATCACACCATTTACAGCCAAAACTGCTTTGATTGAATATCTGCATTTAAATACGGTTTTGTACTATTTTAAATAAGCAATATACATGATAAAAGGGAAAGAAAACTGATTTGATTAATTATCATGAATAAAATGGCCATCTAATGCATCAATAGAAACTTATTTAAATATTATCCCTTCTTGGAAAGTCCTGTAAAGCCTTGTTTATCATTTAACAGAACATTATTATAATAAATTAATACAGTTATTTTTTATCTCAAAAGTTATAATAAAACATTTTCTTTACCCATAACTTGAAATGCCTCTCTTACGAAAGAAATATTTTATGTCTAAAGAATACATTTTTCATAACAATTACGCCAACAGCAACTCAATGGATAAAAAAGAAAAATGTGATTTCAAAAAGTGTTGTAATATATCATTACTTGGTTATTTCAAGCACTTTAAGCTTTAAACATTCAATTTTATTTCTAAAATTCTTAAAAATTATTTTCTCTTTTCGCCGTTTATTGTTAACCAAGCTTTCGGGTTTTTTTATTTCCTCTTTGTTTTTCTCTCTTCTCTCTCTCTCTCTCTCTCTCTCTCTCTTTAGTTATATATTGTTCCTTAAGAAAAATCAAATTTAGAACACAGTTATCACTCATTTTCCACTTGATATTGTTCTTTTTTCCATTATACCTGTCACAGAGCAATCGCCCGATTTTAGTTAATTAATTGTGAATGAGTGAGTGATAGGTTGCAGGTGCGCGGCGCAGGCGTTGTAGCCCTGTTTCCCAAGAGTGTAATTTTGTTAGTTGAGAGAAAGCGAGTGGACAAGCATGAATTTATAATTTGTTTATTTGTCATTTCTGTTATCGTTGTTTATTGTGCGTGATAGAGTTCTGAGAGATGAAAGTGAGCACTAGATTGATTTGTGTGAAGTGGCCCTGGGAACCTGAGTGAGAGAGAGAAGAACAAGTCGGGAAAATAAGAGTGTGGACGTGTATTTGTATTGTGAACATTGTGATTTCTTAAAAATATATCTTGTGTTGTAATTATGTAAATAAACGATGTAAATAAAAACAATCGTCATTAATTACCAGTGCCAGTGACAGGGAGGACTCCCGTCACATATTATGGTGGCCAGCGGTCGGATTAGATTATCTTAACTATGTCAACATATACTTTGGAAAATTAACTCTTGGACAAATACTGTGAAGATGCCACGAAAGAAGAGACAGGAGCCAATTGAGGATGTTATTCCCGAAGCCATGCCTGAAGTTAGACAGTCGTCCAACCTGATAAGCCTACCCCATTTATGGGAAACTCACGAGGACTTTGATTGTGGATTAAGAACTTCGATCGGATATCCAGAGCTAATTTCTAACCGAACCAAGAAAATGCATAACGATACCTGCATTCCTCCGAGATCAAGCTGCAGATTATTATGAATCTTTAGACGACGATGTGAAAGATGACTATCGTTCTGTTTGTGACTCTCTGCGGGAAAGATTTATTCCTAAAGAACTACAATCACTGTATTATTCCAACTTGTTCGGATACAAACAGGCAGAGATGCAAACCGTGAAGATTAGCGGCGAACATAACGAAGCTTGCTACACGTGCCTATATGGACATGCCAGGGAGGCAAAAAGAAACCCTCAATAAAGAGCATTTCGTGCAAGGATTGAGGCCCGAAATCAAGAGGTTTGTATTACTTTCTAACCCTTAGACGTTTGAGGAAGCTTTTAGGCATGCGAAGAGGGAAGAGTGCAACAACTTCCTGGCAGATGCCCCGATGGCCAGTGGAAATGTGGCATCATGTCGAACGCTCCTACAGAACGGAAGAGCTGGAGAAGTCACTCGCAGACCTGACCGCCAAGGTGTCAGTAATGGCGACTGAAATCGGTAGATTCGCATCTAAACAGCAATTTGTCCTCCGTCTCGAGGACAAAGCCGTGGAGGAAGCCGAGGGGGAGAGCCGAGGATTCGGATTCGCCCAGACCGGACCGAAATCTTAGGACAACGGACGGGAGACCGATCTGCAACAAATGTCGTAGAGTAGGACACATAGCGGTCCGTTGCAATGAGCAAAGGAGCGCCAATTCGGAAAACTAAAGTCCGCCCTTTTGTGTGGAGGTTAAGGGCTAGAGGATCTAAAATACCCTCCTAGAGACAGCCGGTTGCGTAAAAGAGAAGAGGATATTGGAAGTAGAAAAAGTGTTGAAAATGTGAAAAATGTATGTGAAAATATTGTTTTTGTCAGTTAAATCCTAAATTTTGTACCGCCAAAATTATAGGATATGTGAATGAAAAATGTGCTGCGATGTTGGTCGACACCGGATCTAGTGTCACGATTATAAATGAAGCATTCGCAAGCCAGAGTGGTATGGTGCCGGCTGGAGGAGTTAGGTTACATCGGCAACGGGAAACCGTGTCGATATTGTTGGAAAGTGTGACTTTAGGCTAAGAATTGGTGAACAAACCGATGTTGTATATAATGCATTTGTTGCTCGTGATTTCCCGTATGATTGTATTTTAGGTTTGGACATTTTGAAGGACTGTGCATGCTATATTGATGTTGCAAATGATTCTGTATATATAAATGATGAATGTATCTCATTTATTTCTGATGCAAGTTCGACTAGCGAAAGTGTGCAAGATGCATGTAATTACAAGAACTTGAATGGGATTGAGATAAGTGAGAGTGTTGAGTCTGGTGAGAAAGAGATAGATGATTTCTATGTATCAGGTGATTTAGGTGAAACGGAACGCAAGTCTATTACTCAGGTATTAGATAAGTATAGAAAAGTGTTTGCTTTCAGTGATAATGAATTAGGGAAGACAGATTTAGTTGAACATTCTATAGATACAGGGGACAGTAAACCTATTCACTTGAGGCCTTATAGGATTCCTCACAGTCAGCGGATGTTACTGGAATCCCAGATAGAAACAATGTGCGCTAATGGAATTGTGCGACCGTCTAAGATTTGAAACTGCCAATTGTTTTGGTGCCGAAGAAAAGATGGCAAAGTTCGCATTGGCATCGATTTTCGTAAAATAAATGAAGTCACCAAAAAGGACGTTTACCCTCTCCCTAGGATCGACGAAATGCTGGATGCACTTAATAAGTCCAAGTACTTCAGTGTCTTAGATTTGTGTTAAGGATACCACCAAGTTCCCATTTAAGGAATGTGACAGAGAAAAGACTGCGTTTTCCTTCTTTGGAGGGCATTATGAATATAATTATATGCCATTCGGATTGTGTAACAGTGCGCCAACATTCCAGAGACTTATGGACTCTGTGCTTTCCGGATTACTGTGGAACACGTGTCTTGTGTATATAGATAACGTAATTGTCTTCTCGGAAACTATTTCCGACCATGTCAAAAGACTTGAGGAAGTGCTAAAATTCGAAAATTCGGGATAAAAGCTAAAAGCGAAGAAGTGTACTTCGGAAAAACGGAGGTCACGTTCCTTGGACACAACGTCTCAGCTGACGGAATATCACCTGACACTGAGAAAGTAAAGTCAATTCACAACTTTCCGAAGCCAACAAATGTGAGCGAACTTAGAAGCTTTCTGGGACTCATCTCTTACTACCGTAAGTTTTAAAGGATTTTGCAAGTAAGGCTGCTCCCTTACACAAGCTCTTAAAGGGAAAAGGGGTCGAATTCATTTGGGACAATAACTGCGAAAGTGCTTTTGAATTCTTCAAATCAGCTTTGACCAGCTTTCCTATTCTTAGATATCCAGATTTCTCACTTCCGTTTATCCTGTACACGGATGCATGTGACACTGGTATAGGTGCCGATTAGCCCAAGAAGGCCCAGATAGTGAGCGGACAATAGCGTACGCGAGTAGGAGTCTAAAACCAAAAGAACAGAACTATGCAGTTATCGAAAAAGAGGCATTAGCCATTGTGTGGGGTGTAATACTTTAGACACTATCTATTCGGCCGGAAATTTACTGTGATAACTGACCACAACCCATTACGGTGGCTTATGGACATTAAGAATCCAGCAGGACGCCTTGCGCGATGGTCATTAACTCTTCAAGAGTATGACATAACCATAAAACATCGACCTGGAAAGGTTCATCAAAACGCAGACGCCTTATCTCGAATTCCTGCCGAATCCCCTATAGCAGCCACCTGTGCTAAGGCAGACGCAGATGTGATACCAAAAAGGTCATATCAGGACATCCGCGACCGTCAGAAAAATGACCCTCTCCTAGCCGCTATCATTAATTACTTAAAAAGGGAGAGTTGCCTGAATTATCTTCAAAAGCCCGTGAAACGGTTATATTATCTGGTGATTATGAACTGGACACAATGGTCTGCTATATCATCTTTGGCAGCCTGGATTCATAGACGACGTCAAGCTATTAGACGCCAAAAAGCTGTTCCAAGGAGCCTGATAGATGAAGTCATGTATGCCTGTCACGACGACCTGACAGCAGGACATCTCTCCTTCCAGAAAACGGATGACAAAGTCCAAGAGAGATTTCATTGGAAGGGTATGTATTCAGATAGAGTTTTGGTGTAGATCATGCGTAGACTGTGCTACCAAGAAATCACCGAAAAACAGACCAAAGTGCCCATTGAACCCGCTACCGGCAGTTAACGGACCATTCGACAGAGTAGCTGTAGATGTCCTTGGACCATTCCCGCCAACCTACAAGTCCAATAAGTACATTATTGTGTTCAGTGACTACCTGACTCGATGGCCTGAAGTATTTGCCGTAAACAATGCAGATGCAGAAACGACTGCGCGACTTTTTGTAAGGAAATAGTTGTCGTCATGGAGCGCCTAGAGAGCTACTATCAGATAATGGTAAGAACTTCAGATCAAACCTGATAAAGGAAATATGCAAATTAACAAATACCAGGAAAACTTTTACTATTCCTACACCCGGAGACCAACGGCCTAGTGGAACGCTTCAATGAACACTCACAACGATGTTGTCGATGTATGTGTCTGGACATCAGCGCGACTGGGATACATTTATACCAACAACTGTTTGCATATAGGACCGCCATTCACGAGTTACAAAAGAGTCACCCTTCTACCTAATGCATTTGCGAGATCCTGTTCTACCCGTTGAAGCCGCGCTTGTCCACCAACATTTTCTTACGCTGTAGCAGACGACTATAAGGAAGAGGCAAAAGTCCGTCTTCAAGAGGCCTACACGCTTGTCAAAGAAAACTTACAAAAGTGTCAACAAAACCAGAAGGAACATCATGACCGCGCAGCGAAAGAGACTCATTATACTGAAGGTGACAAAATATGGTTATTCACGCCAACGACTAAACCTGGACTCTCTCCTAAACTTACTCACAATTGGCACGGACCATCGAGATCATGAGCATTATCTAATGTTACCTACAGACTACAGGACTCTATCACAAATCAAAAACTTTGACAGCGCATGCTAACAGGATGAAGCCGTATCTTGATCCTAATGACCGCCCTGATCACGACTACATCCCGGACGAGGACGTTGAATACGAGGACGAGCCGGCCGATGACAACGGTCCCATTGTCAAAGTATTAGATATGATGCAGTCTAGAAACGACTCCAAGCGGTTGGAGAAACGTTATTTTGTACAGTTTCAGAACGGACACACCCAGTGGTTAGGTGAAAATGAAATCAAAGACTTTAGGATTGTACAAGATTTTATACAGTCAAAGAAATAAATAATTGAAGTGTATATACGTAGGTTATGTATATAATGTATTTCAAATTCTGAAATAAACGTTTGTTTAAAAAAAAATGTTAAGATAAAAATCAAAAATTTAAGAAAAAAAAGGTAAAACATGAAATGTGTATGCATGTTAAACTATTTTGTTATTTCTGTGTGTAAGTAGGGTCTTTTTATCTATGAATGTGTGATTCTTGTAAGCGATATCAAATTGTATTATCAGCTACTACATGTAATGTTATTAGTGTGTCGTGACGCCACACTTAAGAGTGGAGTTATGTCACAGAGCAATCTACAGATTTTAGTTAATTAATTGTAAATGAGTGAGTGATAGGTTGCAGGTGCGCGGCGCAGGGGTTGTAGCTCTGTTTCCCAAGAGTGTAATTTTAGTTAGTTAGAGAGAAAGCGAGTGGACAAGCATGAATTTATAAATTTTTTTATTTGTCATTTCTGTTATCGTTGTTTATTGTGCGTGATAGAGTTCTGAGAGATGAAAGTGAGCACTAGATTGATTTGTGTGAAAAAGTGGGCCCTGGGAACCTGAGTGAGAGAGAGAGGAGAACAAGTCTGAAAGTCAACGAGTGTGGACGTGTATTTTGTATTGTGAACATTGTGATTTCTTATAAATATATCTTGTGTTGTAATTATGTAAATAAACGATGTAAATAAAAACAATCGTCATTAATTACCAGTGCCAGTGACAGGGAGGACCCCCGTCACATACCCTTAAAAAAAAAGAATTTGGCCTATTGAAAGATCGGAAAAACATTTCTCCCATCCTTGATCAAATTGTAAATGAGTATAGCCAATATATCTTAAAACATCTACTGTCTTTGCTTGCTGACATGGAAAAAAATTCAAAATGTTTTGTACTTTTTAGAGTTTCGATTTCAAGAAGATAAACCTTTCGTTCTCTTGAAATGTCTGCGAGAAAAACAAACATGCAAGTGACCATTTGTCAAAAGAGCAGCAAACGGTAAACTGAAAACATCGCACAATTGAGTGATAAACAATAGCAATGTATCTACATTGAACCACTAATTGCCATTTTGTGACCGTGCTTGCAGTATTTATTTTCAAATATTCAGAATACATGTAATTTATAAGAAAATTATACTTTTAACACAAACTCTAATCTAACTTAACTGAAACCGATAGGTAAGGAAACTGTAATATTGGGTTAATTAAATACCTAACTGAATTATTTTTAGCAGAAATACATAAATAAAACAATAGGGTGATTCATAGAAATACTTTGAACATATAAAGTTTACTAAGCTAAGACTTAGCTAAAATTGCTTTAATTATGATACGGTTTAAGAATTTTTAAGCAGTACTAAGGTAGGGTTCTAAGATTGTGTTTAAAACGTATTTAGACTTATCTAAGTCAAAAACTTAGAAAGCTTTATGTTACGAATCCCAGGGGCTTGAACCATAAAGCTTGCTAAATTTTTGACTTACATAGTGTCATAAGTATATTTTAGGCACAATTTAGACCCTGTCTAAGTTTTACTTAAGTATGTCTTAGACCGTAACACAAAATGAACTTCACAAGATCCAAGCAAAGTAAAACATATGTTCAAAATATTTTTTTATGAATCACCCTATATTTTTTTTTCATCTCATTCAGATATATTGCTACAAAATGATTTATTTTTTTAATTCAAAGTTTTAATTAAATATTTATAAAAGTTGATGTCCTTACCTATCGGTTTTAGTTATGTAAGATTAGATTTCGTATTAAAGATATCATTTTTATAAAATACACAGAATATTTGATTTAAAAATACTATTTCATGGCTAATTAACAAAATTATGATTGAAGGCTAATTAACACAATTTAATTTTATCCAAACCTCAAATATTTTTGCTAAACTAGGTTCATGACCTCTTCACTCAAGAAAAATTAGATATCTTTCATGATCTACCGATGGCCCACTGGCTCCTGCTGAAAAAGCAGGTAGGGAACAACTTTGTCTTTGTCTGAATTGTATTTTAAATAATTTTAAAATTTCTGGCAAAAACACGTTTGAAATGTTTTTTAATATGTTTGTTTTTCTCCCGGAGGGGTGAACCCCCTATGCCCATGTTTTAAACATCTAAAAAACAATTTGATTTGGGGGGCCGTCTGTGGTTTTATTGTGTAAACACTACAATAGCGAAACTCTTCATTTTTATAATATATAACTTACATTAACTTCAGCGTACATGCCAAGTTTGGGAAAAATCTACCGTCCAGGTAGTCTTAAGGGACAGGTCTCAACAGGTACATTTACAATAGGATTATATA